CTAAGCGCATTATTGCAGCATTGTTCTGGGACTGAAATCCTGAAAAGGTTGGAATATGAACAGGGAATGTTCATAGAGGCTGCAAAGTGTCTGTCTTTGGGTAGAGAGCTGAAATGCCAAGGGTGGAGCTCGTGCATGAAACCCCTTTGCACCAGTTCTTCAACCACCACACCCATGTCTTGCCCCTCCTCGCTGAATTATCTTTATATCTTCTTTTAGAGTACTTTGGGACCCCAGGAATATTACAAAAATGGTGGTAGAACCTCAAGAACGCTGAAGGAATAACACTTTGCACCCCCTTTTGAAACCTAAATTTTATCTCATTTGCCAGGGTACGACTACGTATGTTTTGTGGCCATGTGATGGTGTAATGCTGGTCTTTGCTTTATCCTTTGCTGTTGAGTTTTGAACCTGATGTCGAGGAACAGGGAATCAAATTTTCCTGGGTTTTGCCATGTTTCAAACCTTTCAGGTCAGATCTACGCCTGATCTGGACACCCATATTATTTCCTTTCAATCTGTGACATTCCTGCACATTTTACCTATAATTGCTGTTTCAATTTGCATGTTTTAAAAAGAAATCCTACTTCCTGTTTTAAAGCACATTTAAATGTGTTCTCTCTCAGTCTAAAATCAGTAGTTGGGTAGTGCTTCTATTAGGATGAACCAAAATAGTACAGAGGCCAGTATAAGCTTCTGAGTGCTTAAAAGGTGCCTCCCTCCCCGCCTTCTAACCTAGGCCTTAAAATCATCTGGGAGGCCCCTGCTGGTGGTCTCCCAGTGGGACAGGGCCTTCTTTGGGACAGCACCCCAATTATAGAACTGTCTCCCAGCAGATATTCAGTTGCCTCTCATGCTGTCATCTCATGGATGACATTAGAAGGTGCCCCTGCCAAATGATCTGTAAGATGAAAGCCACTCCGGGATCAGACGGACTTTGAGACTCAGTTATATTGCCTTTTCTTTTTCTTTTTCTCTAATGAAATTTGTTTCAGTTTGTGTGTTTATATATTTCATTGGTATCATTTTATTTCTTTTGATCATTCTCTCCTAAACTATCCTGACCATCTCTCTAACAGATGGAATAAAGTATGATATCAACAAGAGGGGAAAAAAACAGTATAGAGAACAAGTAAAAATAGAGAACAAAATGGCAATTCTGCCCAACAACACTGAAATCATCTACAGACGCATCCCTCAGAGGGCTCCAGCAACCCTAGCCCAGGGCCTGCGAGAGCAGCCAGAGCTTTAAGGCCCTCCCGAACATCCTCAGAATGGGAGCCACCCAGATCTCAGAGGGAACCTCATTCCAGAGAAGGTGCACTTCCTGGGTCCTGAATGATAACACTGTTTAATTGAAGGGACTGGAGCATGCCTACCTTGTCAGAGAAAGAGAAGGTTGGAGATGGGACAGTAGTTATGGTTGAGTCCAAGGACAGCCTCTTGAGAAGGGAGCATACCACTGCCTCTTTCAAGGCTGGGCAATACCCCCTCCTTCAAAGAGGCTGACACCACAGTGTGGACCCAACTAAAAGTCACCTCCCTGGCTGCCTTAATAATCCAGGAGGGGGCTGAGGTGGCCAAACCTACAGCACAGAGAACCCCATCTACTTCCTCAGGAGTCACCAGCTCAAGCTCAACCCAGATCACACCACTAGACCGAGCCCCATGCACCTCGGATGGGCCTGGCCAGTTGGAATCCAACTTGGACCAGATCTGAGCAATTTTATCTGCCAAATATCCAGAATATTCCTCACCATAGTCCTGCAGATGGTTCTGGGTCCCATCTCTACCTAGCAGGGGCCGGGTTACCCTAAACAGAATTGCTGGATGGCTGTCGGTAGATGCAATAAGGGTGGAGAAATATTGACGTTTTGCCGCCCTTATTGCCATGAGGTTATCCCTAATGTGGGGGGATCTCTGGGGGTCTCTTTTGGCACTTCATCTCCCAGAGTTCCTTAGTGAATCAAGGTGCACCCCCAGATCAGTGCACTGGGAGAGCCACACAGGGACAATGTGGTCCAAGGCTCCTGCTACCTGCCCATTGCAAGCAGTGACCAAGGCTTGGGGCAAACCACCCACCAGATCCTTGGGGAAAATCCCAAACACCCTCTGGAACCCCATAGGGTCTATCACAATGTTTCTCAGCCTTGGGAACTTGAAGACCTGTGGACTTCAACTCCTAGAATTCCCCCCCCCCCCGTCTTCGCCCGCGCCTTTGTTGTGGCCTGGGCGCCGCGGCTTCTCCCCTTCCCTTCCACCCAGAATAACGGTTTC